ACTTTCTATTTTACTTTTTATTTAACTTTTATTTAACTAATAATAAATTAATTAATAAAAATAAAAAAATAAAAAAATAAAATATACTATAAGGGACTTATTAGAAATTAAATTTAAATCTTTTCTTTATTTAAAAGATTTTAATTATTAAATTATAAATTTAAATATAATATACTCTATACTTTTTAAAAATTCTATTATTTAAAAGATATATATATTAAATAATAATTTAAATAAATTAAAATTTAATAAATAAAATATTAAAATATTAAAAATATATAATTTTTAATTTTAATATTATAATATTAATAATAATTATTATAAATAATATATACATTTAATTTAATTATATAAAATAAAATTCTTTAATTATATTTTAATTTAATTATATAAATTTAATATAATAAATTTATTAATAAAATTATTATATATATTATAAAAAAGGAATTTTAATAATATTATAATTATATTATAATAAAGTTTTATTAAAATATTTAAAAGTAAATAAATAATATTATAATTTTATAATATAAAAAAGTATTATAAACTTAAATAAATAACTAAATAACCCTACTCCTTAATATTTAATTAATATAAATTTAAAATATAAAATTTAATATTAATATAATTAAAACTTTTAATAATTATAAAAGAACTTTATAATATTAATTATTAACTTAATACCTTTAAACTTATAATAACCTTTTACTACTTTAAATATTATTTTAAAAATATAAATTAATAAATTATATTATTATATTATATAATTTTTTAAATTATTATTTATAAAATTTTTTATATATAAAATTAATTTAAACTTTATATAAAATTTTATATTTATTTAAATAAATTATTAAAAGTAATTAAATTTAATTTAATTATAATTTTTATTATTTATTTAAATAATTATATAAAGAAATATATATATTTAAAGTTAAGTAGTTTTTAAAAGATAAGTTATAAGACTTTACTTTTTTAATATATAAAAGTTTAAAGTTTAAATTAAAATAAAAATAAAATTATATTTTAATTTTTATATTTATTTAATATTATTTATTTAAATTAAATTAAAATATAATATTTTTAATAAAAATTTTTAAATAAAAATTTTTAAAATATTTTATTATTTTTAAAAATTAATTAAAATAATAATTAATTTTTAAAAAATTTAAAAATATTTTTAATATTTAAACTATATTATATATTTAATATTTAATAAAATAAAATTTAATAAAAATAAATTTACTTTTTTTTTAATTAAATTAAAAATTAAAAATTAATTTATTAATTAGTTTAGTTTTTAATTATAATTACTAACTAAAAAAAAAATTAGTTATTATTTCCTTAACTAAAAATCTTTAGTTTTAGTTAAGGCTTATAACTAAACTAATTCAGACTAATTTCAACCCTAACATAGTATTACAGTTAAATGTTAGCCGCATGTCCTGGTGAATGTACTTTGTACGCATCGAGATTGGCCTGACCATCATAGGTGCAACCAGGGACCGAGCTGAGAGCAACGTTACCTCTTATAAACGCGCATTGGTTGTATTGCGAACAATTTTCACCACGCATCGGGAGGGACGTGGGTGCAGATACGAGATGAAGTCTAGTTAGCGATTGATTGCTTACAGCTTTGTTAAGATTCTTGAGATTCTACCGCCATTTCAGGCTCATACTAGCTCGGATATGGGATCTACAGTAGAGGATTAGTTAGTCGTATTTTTATCGTTCCGCGGTGGCGGTGTGGGAAGCGTTGTAGATCATCCGCTCAGTTCGGTCTGGCTATGTGAGGGGGTGGGTGTAAGATGACGGCAGTGACCGTTACCAACATAGAAGGCTTGTGTTCTCATTGGGTTCCGGTAGTAGCCAGTCCTACAGGCTAGTCGCAGTAAGAACAACTCGTGTTACATTACAACAAACTCGTATCAAATGAAAACTTGACGCTCCAGCCTTGTGGCCCTTAGTGTCATTCAGCTCATACCCGGGGTACGTAACATCGTAAGCTTACTGGTGCTGACTTGAAAGTGCGATCCCCGGCCATGTTTGAACCTTCAAAATATAAAGCTTCCTCGGATATCGGTTGAACAGCTGGATTTGTACAGTACAGCTCATCTCTTCAAACCCGACATCAGAGATCATTGCAGAACTCCTATCTCAAATATTATATTTCACAACTCGCAACCAACAAACTAGCAAGATGAAGTCCTTCATTACCATTGCTTTTGTCTCCCTGTCCATTCTACTAGCCAACAGCGGCGCCAACGCAGACTGCATCCCAGGCTTCAGCTCCTCCGACATGGACGAGTGCAATAGCCATTGTGGGACCTACGTTTGTGTATCAAACGGAGGCCCGTACCAGTGCGGATACTGTAACTAGAGGAACGCCACGGAGGAAGATCTTGTGAAATAAGAAGCAACATGAATGGGATGAAGGATCATGAACAACACCAGGGGGGGGGGGTGCAAATCTCTGACGAACTATGGAACCTTCTACAGTAGTACTCAATACTTGACAGAGAGACCATACCGCCAATCTAGGCCGGCCGCAATGGTGGAAAGAACCCTGGGTCAAGGATTCAAATAGATGTTGCAATACACATACGAATTTGAGATAAGTCAACTGATGGGCCCACGCACACCCCCAGCCACGCACAGCCATTTCCCACCAAAAAGGCTAAATTCTACACCTTTTTATTTAATTCTACCTAAATTCTATAAATATAATAAAATATTAATTAAATTCTTCTTTTTATATTTAATATATACTAAAAATATTAGAATTATAAATATTTTTTTTATATTTAAATTATATAAAAAGATAAAAGTTTTTTTTTTAACTTTTCTTTTTATAAATAATAAAAGATTTAATTAGTATATAAAATCTTAGTTTTTAAATTATTTTATAAATATAGTTTTTAAGTTTTATAATAAAAATATATTTTATATATATATTTATTAAAAGGAAGGAAAGTTTATTAATAATTATTATTTAAAATTAATTATTAAATATAAAAGAAAAAAGTTAGAATTTCTTTATTTTAATTTCCTACTTATTTAAAATTTTTAATAATTAATTTTATAAAATATTTATTAATAAAACTTTTTAAATAAAGATTTCTTATTATTTAATTAATTTTTTTTTAATAAAATATATTTTTTAAATATTTTTAAAAAGTTTTAATTTATCTTTTAAAAATACTTAGTTTTCTTATTAAATTCTCTTTTTATTTTATTTCTATTAATCTATTAATAAAATAATATATTAAAAATTTATTTAATATTTTAAATATAAATTATTTGTATATTAAAAACTAAATTTAAAATATTTTTTATGTAGATTTATATAGAATTAATAAATAAAGATTAAAAAACATAACTTTTTAGCCTTTTTGGTAGGAAATAGCTGTGTGTAGGTGGGGGTGTGTGTGGGCCCATCAGTTGACTTATGCCAAGGACACGGGCAAACAAAAGTAGCCATACCAGTCGTGACTTTACCTAGGTACATTTATGGACTCGGAGGCCTGAGGATATCATTTGCCATCGAACTGACCGGCCTGCAATGAAGCTTATAACGACGGTTCTTAGGAACCACCCAGGCTAAGTCCATTAAATGTGTAAGAATTCTTATAAACTCTCTACACTGTATACTACTAGTATTTTTAGTTTCTTATAGGTTATAAGCCCGGCTAGCTTAAATAGTAGGATAAGCACCTTAATTAATTAATATTAGAGGTTATTTACCTACTTAGTTAGGGTTTCTTACTCTATTATACCTATAATTAGTTAAGGTAGTAAGTTTAATCTTTAAAGTAGTTGAAATATCTTATATAATATACCTAGAAAAAAACTTAATATAGTGCCTAGAGTATAGGGGTGTGTAAGAATTCTTATAAACTCTCTATACTGTGCACTATTAGTATTTTTAGTTTCTTATAAAATGTCTTGAATAGTACGTTCTTAATAAGCGTACCACAGCTCCGACTCGGCCTCTGACTACCCAGGTAGTTTGTGCCTGCCCTGTCCTAGACGGGTTAATTAGCTGCTCGCTTTTGATCCGCTTATGCCTTACTATTACTCCGTGACACTCCGTGACGTTTGGTATATAAATCCTCTTGGCCACCCCTCTGGCCTTGTAGACACTAAGGTCTGGTCGTTTTTCTTAGAAATCGTTCAACTTTACACGACTGTCACCACGTAGCCAGCATGGTGGAAATAATGACCCACAGTTTTTCATTGATGCCTAGTTGTTTCTAAACGTACTATGTGAAGAAAACCCGAAGCTCTACTGCAGTACTATGTCTGCCATGTCAAAACAAAACCACACGTGCATGCATGGATTAAAATTTGCATTACTTTATAGTCATCATTTACGCTGTACTTTATTCAATTAGAGGAGTAGACCCTTAGAGCAAGCCCTAGACAATAGGTGTCTTGTTCATTTGGGTGTGGGGGAATTCTCTCACACGCATACCTAAGTACCGCTGCTCCAAGCTACAGTCTAGCATTCCCGAGCTGGTTTGGTTTCTGACCCCCCATACATATAAAATGTATGTGGTGTCTTCACACAGTCGTAAACGCTTAAGACCCAGCGTTTTTCTTTTAAAAAACACAATGTCGATAAAAGTGCAGAGATAATAGCATTCCCGAGATCATGACTAAACTTGTCATTATGTGAACATTGGACTCAATGGCTAATAGGACTTGCACAGGATCCCATCCTACTTCTCGTTGCATGGAGGTTGTGAATAGTGGCAGCATCCCTTGCAGATCGCCAAATACCCCAGAATAATACTTCCCCCCTTGAACCTGCGAGCCCCGAAATATCATTCAGAGTGATGTGATGGGGCACGGAAGAAATGAACGCATAATAGAAGAATTATGTGGCTAGCCCTCGCTTCGCTCCTGGTCAGTGTGGGCATCTGTAGGTTGGAGAATTCACCCCCTTCCCACCTCCATATCCCCCGGTACCAGGCTGACATCTCAGCGATGTACAAGCTTCAGTCAATCTCCATCCAAACTTCGGCACTTGGCTGCTCCGTCTCAAGCATTTTCTGGTAGCACACGACTGTCCTATAAGTTGCCATAACCAACGAGTCAGCGTACTGAGAAGGGCCTCTGCGGTCGAAATAGGGGTTGGGCAGGAAAATTAGGGTGGGTCTTTAGGTAGGAGGGTCAAAAATACATTTACACGGTTGTGAATCTCAGGTGGATTTAGAAACCGCCCGTCAGTGATAACGACATAGACGGAATTTTGGTATTTCGCATCCTGCGAAACGTCCCCTTCGGCGTAGGACAAGATCTCCCTCCGAAGCTCCTCAAAACCCGGGGGCGGGCTAGTATCAAATTCCGTCAACTTGTGCTGTGCAAAGACTACTATCCAGTCGAAAGCAATATAGGCGGACGATGCAAAGTCAAAGCCTGTACGTGATGGGATAAAGATACGAGTCTTATTATCTCCGTTGCCGACCTTGTTACGCAGGAGTGTAGTGACCTCGTCGACGCTGTTGTATTCGTAAAAGGGTGGGATACCCCGACAAAGTGACTCAGACTCGTAAATGTTGTTGGCGAGTAAGAAGGCGTCGAGTATAGGTAGCGGGACCTTGAAGCCTCGTAGAACGGTTGTCATACACATTGTGAAGGGTCTGCGGTTGATATGGAGAGAATGTGTGTAGGAGAATGATGGGCTGGGCGTACTGAAGGAACCTTTCAGCCAGGTCATTAGTTTTTATACCACACAGCACGGCTGGCTTAACTGTGGAAAACGCGAAGTTGACCCCGCAGCTCTGTGATTACTTAAGCCGCATCAACCAAAAGGTTTTAACAATAGTGTGCAATAACCCTTTCCCCATGGCCATTCTGATGGACAACACTTCAGGAGGTTAGACTGTTGACCCAGCTATCCGCCCCCCGCCCCTTCCCCAGGCAATCAATCAGCAGCGGTATATTGATTATTCAACTGGGATAATTCGCAGTTCGCGGGCTCATTCGCTGTCATTCTAGGATCTGGTCCCGACCGGTCCAAATGGGGCTCTTGAGCCCTGGAACCTAGACTCTTGCTTGTTGTTCCCTGAAAACATTATCGGGTCAATTCAGGGCCATGTGTATCAAAATGCCAACCCGGCGAGGATGCGGACATAATCTGTTATATTTTTAATGGTCTGATAGAGACCCTCAGTGAAGCTTTAGAGTACGGGACTTTTGTATTAGGGGTTTGAATGAGAAGGGTACTGCAGGCGGATACCAAGTTGCTAGACAATATCACTCGCCCTTCACCTTAGATTTCACACATGTCCTACATTGGCAGATCAAAAAGATTATAGAAACGAACTACCTAGGTAGCCTTCAAACCATCAATGTGACCACCTCGGGGCGAGCTGAGGACTACCCTAGCGCCGATAGTATTAGATACATATCGGTAGTACTCGAGCTTATAAGTTAACTAATGGCCCTATATACACCCCTACTTATATATAACCTAAATCATTATTATTCTAATTAGTATTACTTAGATATATACCTACTTTATAAAGGTTATAAAAGTTATATATATAAATAAATTTTATTATTTAATTTATTTTATTTTTATATAATAGTATAATAAGTAGCTTTATAAAGAAAATTATTTATATTATAGATAAATATTTTAATAAATTAAATTAAAAATTAATATATAATTAATATTATATTAATTAATAATAATTATATTATTATTTTATAAAAATATTAATTTATAAAGATATTAATTTAAGTTAATAAAATTATTATTAATATAAAAGATTTTTAATTAATTAAACTTTTATATAAAGTTATTTTATTTATTTATTTATTTATTTATTTATATCCTTCTTTAATATTTTATAAGTTAAATTATTTATAAAATAATTTATTAATTAATAAGTTTATATTTATTAAAGTATATTAAATAGATTATTTTTATTTAAAAATCTTTTTAAAAATACTTAAAGTTATATAAATTAATTATTATTATATTAATTATATTATATTTAAAAATCTTAATAAACTTTTAATTAATTTAATATTTTAAATATTTAAAGAGTTTTATAAAGGTATTAATATTATATTAATAGACTTAGTTTTAAAAAATAATAAAAATAATAATAAAGTATTTAAATTATTTTTATAAAGTTTAATAATTAAAAATACTTTTAAATCTATATATAATTTATAAAATTAAGTATATTAATAATAATAAAAGTTTTATTATTATTTATTATATTTTATAAAAATTAATTTAATAATAATAGTTTTTATTAATAACTTAATTAATTTAAGGATTAATAATTTATTTATTTAAATATAAATTAGATTAATAATAAATTTAGTTTATAATAATTAAAGTATATTTAATTTATTAATAAAGTTAAAATAAAAGTAGTAATAAGTATTAATTATTAATAGTTATAAATTATATATAATTAATAACTTTTATAAGAATACTTTTATATTAAATTTAATTTATTTTTCTATTAGTATATATATTTTATATAGTTTTACTTTTATTTTATATATATTTAAAAATATATATAGTACCTTTATATAATAGTAAGTACTTAAAATTTAATATTTAGAAAGAATATAATATTAATAATAATAATTATAATATAATAAATACTTATAACTTTAACTTTATAATATATAAATAAAGTTAAGGGTATTATTTTAATAATAATATTAATTAAAATTATAAATAAAAGAATTTATAGTTTAATTATTATAAAGGAGTTATATAATAAAATTAAATTTAAAAATAGTTATTATATAAATAAATTATATTAAAGAAAGTCTAATTAAAAATTATCCTTTAAATATATATATATATATTTTATATATATATATATTAATAAGACCTTTATTAAATAAGTTTATAAAGTTAATATTATAGCTTCTATTTAAATATATAATTATTAACTTTAAAAGATTTAAAATAAAGAAATAATTTATAATATACTACCTTAAGACTTTTATAATAAAGTATTAAAACTTTTAGAGAGAGTTTTAAAAGTAATTTATAAAAGATAAAAAGAAAGTATAATAAGTTTATCTTTCTTTAAGTTTATATTTTTATTATTAATAATTATTAACTCTTTAATAATATAAAAAGTATAATAAAATAAAGGAAAGAGTGGATTTAAAGTTCCTCTTTAAAAGGATTATAAAGATATATATAAAGCTATTAAAAATATTATATATAAACTTTAAACTTAAAAGAAATAAATAGTTATATAGTATAAAGGAAAAATATAATATAGTTAAAGTTATATATATTTTATATATTATTATTATTTAATATTAAATTATTTTTATATTTAAAGTAAAAGTATTATTAAAGTTTTAATTTATTAGTATAAATATATAATATAGAGAATTCTTTTAAGAAATTTTTTTATATTTATTAAAAGGTTTAAAAAGTATTTTTATAAAGGTATATATTATTAAAGTATAATATATTATAGGAATTTAATTATATAACTATTAGAAAGTATTTAATTTAAGATTAGTAGTAGTTAATAATAATTTAAAAGTTAATAATGAAAGGTTTAATATATTTATATTATTAAAACTATATTTTTAAATAAAAGTTAGTTATAATAATAATAGTAATTTTTATTTATTTTATTAAATATATAAAATTAAAGTTAATTTATATAGGTTTAATAATATTTATAAATTATTTATAATTTTTTTAAAAGTTTAATAAAAGCTTTAATAAGTTAGTTATATATATAGTTATTATTAAAGTTAAAAGAGATATTTTTATTAATATTTTTAAAATTAATAATTAAAAAGTATAAAAGTTATTTTAAATTTAAATAAAGTATTTATTAATATTATAGTAATTAGAAAGGAGAAAGTAATAATAAAGTAAGGTATATTAATAGATTTATTAATAGTTAATAAAAGTAGATTTAATAATAAAAATAAGAATAAATAAAGTTTATATATTAAAGTTTAAAGGTTAGAAAGTATTATATTATTATTAAATTTTAAATAATTTCTTTAATTATTAAGTAATTTAAGGTTAAAGTTAGATAGTATTTAAATAGGTGCTTGAAATCTACTTATATGTGAGTAGGGGTGTGTATAGGGCCATTAGTTGACTTAGTGTGACGTCCCTGAACAGTGATATTGCTATGATTTGGCTGGGGACCTTGAAAACTGAGATAGCCTCGGCTACAAATTGTCCCATTAAATCCGCATTCAAGTTTCCAATACAATTGTGTGAACGACGTCAACTGCCCTGTTTGGATCAAGAACATTTGAACCATGCTTGATTCTCATAGGCCGTCTTCGGCTGTAACAAAGAGCTCACGGCTAGTGACGACGCACAAACCACTGGCAACTGCTCAAACACCAACTGACACGTTCTTTGACCTGATTACGGTTGGTTGATGGCATAGCAAGTGTCTGACACAAGACAACCTGAACTGTGTGATGTTGCTCTACAAAGCGAGCAGGCGTTTTGCACAGTCACGAGACAGTGGTCACGGGAGAGCGCTGATATTTCTAATGACATTAAATCATCCGAACATGGCTATAGGGGTGATTTAGGTAACTAAGTAGGCGGATTAGAGTAGGTTGAATTTTCTCCAGCTGGTCCACCATCACAAACTTGACGGATGCAAGCGGTCGAGGTTTGAATATGCAAGTGAGGGGGAGATGTGACGTCATCTGACACGATAGCTGAGTACCTAGGTACTGAGTCAAATCGCTCATGATTGGGGCAGCAGTGACTAGAAGGAACAAGCGAGTGGCTGTTGGGGCCGGCTTGCTTTGTACCGCCTCACAGCGAATGGGAGGCTGGGTACCAGCATAGACTACAAAAGAAGGAGCTAGACTACCCTAGGGCAGCTCCGCCTCCTCACGACATCGGAGTCTAGGACATCTGGAGGCAGCCTAAACACAGCTCCCAAGACATTTCTTACGGCCACGCAGTCAACTTCGGGCATCAAAAGCTCCTCCCCCTCGGCAACTCAGGCTTACGAGTTGCGATCCACGGCCATTGCCAGCATTTTCAAGACAACTACCAGAGTTTACTGTCTGCCGAATCAAATCCGTGATGGGCGTAAGTAGGGTCCCCAATCCTGCATCACCGATATCACCCGGCCTCATGACTGACCCCTGCCGCATCCCACAGTTCGCTTCTAAGATGGCGGCGGCGGCAGCTGCTGGAGCAGTCGTCCAGGGCGTGGGATCGCAGTCATCGGGAGCTCCTCCTCCTGGTGGCCAGCAGGTAATGGAACACCTGAGCACATCATGATCTGCCACCATTTTTGCGTGCTCGTGGATGAAATCTGACATGGCTTCAAGGGATACCCTCCCTACCCACCAGGCGGCGCCGGCGGCAATCAGCAGCAATCTTACCCCCCGCCAGCTGGCAGCTTCCAGGCTTACAGGCCCCAGGGCGCCCCGCCGGGAGCAGCGGGAGGCGTTGCAGGAGGTATGCAGGCCGATGAGAACCTCTTCCGCCAGAGCTTGGAGCAGTGCATCCGGGAGAAGAACCTCCAGAACATGCCCGCCTTCCGCGACCCCTCGTACATCACCAACGTCGCCCGTGTCGCTGGGCCAAAGGTCGAGTCGCTGTGCCGGTCGTGGCAGATCCCGCTCGAGGTCGGCAAGGACATAGTACGTCTCGCCCTATTCGACATTGTTATCTACGTCGATGACAGCGGTTCTATGCTGCCCAAGGGCGGCAAGCGTGTCAGGGATATGATGCGTGTCCTCAGCAGGGCTGCTGCGGCCGCCACCTTGTTCGACCCCGACGGAGTCACTGTCCGTTTCATCAACAGCAACGCTCAGGGTGACAACATCCGCAACGAGGCCGACGTCAACAGGCTTATCGAGTCTGTCGATTTTAGGGGCCGTACACCCATTGGCACCGAGCTCCGCCGCAAGATCCTGGAGCCGCTTGTGCTGTCGCGCGCGAGGCAGGGCCAGATGCAGGTTCCCGTGCTCATCATCACCATCACCGACGGCGAGCCTGCCGGAGAAGACGACGACACCATCTTCCGATCCATCAAGGCCGCGGCTGACGAGCTTTCTCGCACCCCGCTGGGTGCTGGCGCCATCGCCTACCAGTTCACACAGGTCGGTGAGGATGAAGAGGCGCGTCGCTTCCTCAACCGCCTCGATACTCACCCCCAGGTCGGACACCTCGTCGATGTCACCGCGTCCCTCGAGATCGAACAGGAGGAGATGAGCCGCATCAACCCTTCGCAGGCGCTCACCGCCGACTTCTGGACCCTGAAGCTTCTCCTCGGATCAATCGACGCATCCTGGGACGAGGCCGACGAGAAGCCCGGCCAGCGCCAGGGAGGAGTGCCGCCGCCCTCACAAGGTGGTGCCTACCCGCCCCAAGGTGGCCCTCAGGGTTCATACGGAGGGGGCTACAACCAAGGATACGCGCCACCTGCGGCTGGAGGATACGGGCAGCCTGGAGGGTATGGTCAGCCGCCAGCGGGCTACCAAGGAGGCGGTGGTGGGTACCAGGGGAGTGTGCCCCAGTACCCCGGTGGACCACCAGCTCCCGGTCAAGGAGGCCCGGGTGCTGGGGGTGCTTATGGATCGGCGTATCCCGGCCAGCCGAAATGGTCATGATATCAGCTTTGACGGCGCAGCGAGGTAGCGCTGGGCGAATTTGACCGCTTCATCTTGAGGAGTAATCGTCAGTTGTCTCGCTCGACCACTGGCTAGCCCAATTCCTACATCCCCTCCAGTAGTAATTTTGGTAGTATCTTTGATAGTAAGCTCTTTTTTGGTGGCAGTCGATGAATGACGATCTTCCGAACATTATCTGGCAAGATGTTTTCTCTATGAGTTACGAGCCGTGTTGTAGTGACATACATGCGTTTGGCTGATTATCGAAAGCTCCGAGTCGACTGGTGGTCAGGATAATGTCTAAAGCTGTGGGTATCATGGGCACTTTTCGAACAGTGAGCCGATAGTTTTGATTTAAAATGACTGTGACTTGCTATCCACCGGCACAACATCGCATTGTCTGACATCAATCGAGCTTCGTCTTCCAATACCGCTGCGAGGACCTCCAATTCGTCAAGCAATGGGCCGTAAGTACTTGTTTGTCTTATCCCCGTGAGATGACCATCGTAGAAAATTGCAGGACGGTTCCCTCGTTCTGCAAGAACACGCCGATCTACACCATATAATATGTCGAAACCTTGCCACCGGAAAACCAGATCCAGCGACGGAGAAGCGTATGAATCTTTGGACAAGAACATGCCACCACGGAAACGGCACGCAGAAGTCCCAGCTTTTCTGCGGCCGCCTCTTCGGTGATAAGAGTGTGGATATTCTTTCCATCATTGATAGCGCTGGTCTTATGCTCAGCTTTGATTCAGATATTGTTCGCCAGGGCGGAATACTGTTACCGAAAAAACCGGAAAATCTAACATTATTGCAGCATCATAAGTGACACTACCCGAGGTCATGGACAGGTTCTATCCAATAGAGCATGTAAAGATTGTCGCAAGAGGTGCCGCGACCCTGCTGGAATCTCCATTCAGTGCCATCATCCCACGCATATTCTCCAACACGTAGATATTTTACGCAGCTGATATCAACCCTCTGGCTACAATATATTACATTTATCCCATGAGATACAGGAAGCACGAAGAACGTACACACCAAGCCTGGACTCCTGCAGGACGGCGGACTCTTCCTCGGAAAGAAGGATGGCAGAGCTCAGCTTGCTATACAGGCAAGATCATGACCCTGCAACCGTACAATCAGTAAACGGCTTTGCATCTCGAATCCGACAGTAAGAAGGGAGACAAATATTGGGCAGGACATGGGCCGGTGTTTTCAGTGATCTCTGCCCGAGTTGGTCGGAACCACTTTGAAAAAGCATCCTTTACGTCGCAGATAAGGGTGCATTATACTTCTTTCACATCTTGAGGAGTACTATTAGCGCCTACTGGGATGCGGCAATATTGATAAAGTGGACATCATGTAGCTATTATAGGGCCTATTATTTAGCAACCACGTTATCAAGCCTTTCTCTACTTGTCGTTCTGTTTGCTTTGAACGGCTTTGCCACTATTATTAACATTACCTTAGCATCTATATGCATTCATCACTATTCAAAGGCGCGATATGTAGCTTTAGATATATATGGAATAGAAGTGAAACTGTATATGTACCTAGGTAGTCAAGTATTTACTATATGAAGGTGCCGTGTATGGTTCCGGTCGTATACGAAATAGAAACGAAATCAACTACTTGCCGTAAACCTCTCGGCTCGCGGATATAATGAGATCGATCCCCTTGAGACGATACGTATCCTCCTCGACATAGCTGGTCACATTGCCCTCATAAACAAAATTGCTCGCAGCGTCACCCCCCTCGACAGAGTACTGCGGCCAGGACGGCACCGGCACCCCAAGCGTCTTGGCTGCATCCTCACGGCCGCTCCACCCATCCGGACTTCCCTTTGCGACAAAGTGCACCCAGTCGCTGCTCATCAGTCGGGCAAGATCCCGGTACGACTCGGACAGGCCTTGGAATGGGTTGACGCGGATCGGCGGGTACCCCACACCGTCGAGGTTGCGCATGGAAAAGGCCACCTCCACGAAGTGCGTTGCGCCATCGAGGTAGGTCGCCCACGCGGGGATGGCGTTGAAACGGTAGGACCAGACGGGGAGATCGTTCTCGGCCCAGGTTCGCGCCGTGAGGCGGCGAGGCGCAATCATGGCCTGGTCCCCGAAGTAGGCGACCGTCGATCGGTACAGAGCGCCGGCGGAGGGAGGAGGAACCCAGTCATTGGCTTGGTTGGTCAAGATGGGGCTGATTGGTTCCTCGGTATAGATCTCAACAATCTCCTCGGCATATGAGGAGTTAATCGAGCCTTGCATCACGGCAGTCTTGAACTGGTCTGTCGTGTTTACACCCTTGGGCCCAAACGAGGTACCCTCGTCAGTGTTGTCTCCAACGATGATAGGCACCTTGACGAAGCTGCCATCAGCGATCTGGAGGGAAGATTCGCGCACGATGAAGTCGTTGTCAATCTTGGGCATCCAGCCACCAGACAGCTCGGTCGTGTTAATGACGGCATTCAGGTCCTCGAAAGGCAGGCTTCGCAAGCACTCGACGGCCTCACTTGCCGTGTCACACCCAGTACGGTTTAGGAGGAGATCCCATCGAGACTCGGCTAGGTCAGCCAAGGAGGAGATGGCCAGCGGTGCGCCACTGCCCATGATGGCCTGGTGGAAGAGGCCATCGTCACGGCCGTTGTAGGCGAGGATCTGGTGGCCCACGGAGGCGGCACCGGCACTCTGGCCCCAGATGGTGATCCTCTCAGGGTCGCCTCCAAAAGCGGCGATGTTTTCCTTTATCCAGTGCAGGGAAAGGCGCTGGTCACGAAGACCCATGTTGGAGGAGCCGCTGTCGAAGAAGTCCTGAGAGTTGAGGAACCCCCAGGCACTCAGGCGGTAGTTGAGGTTGACGCCGATGATGGGCTCGCCGATTGCCTGGGATTGGTCGACAATGAAGGAGAGATTGTAGCGCAGGTCACTGCCAGCGCCTTGAACGAAACCACCGCCGTGAATCCACACAGCAACGGGCAGCGTCTGGTTCTCATAGCCTGATGGCCGCCAGATATTCAGATAGAGACAATCCTGCAGGCCTCAGTTAGTCACAGAATCAATACCAGAGAAGAGCAAAACATCTTCACCAACCTCGTCAGTCCTATATCCAAATTGAGATGGCTGTTTGTTTGTTTGTCAGCAGTCTGCAACGCCTACGGTATATGGACATGGAGCCGTACCCCATAGCCTACGCACGAGGCAGACAGCGCAGCTGCATCCCGCGGACCGTCCCAAGTCGTGTTCAGAGGCACTGGATTGTGGAAGCGTAGCGAGCCGACGGGGGGCTGTGCAAAAGGGATGCCCAAGAACTGATCCTGGCCGGAAGGGAGATGAACGCCGGCATAAGTGCCATTGGCAACCTCGACCTCGGGTCTAGCACTGTCGCGAGAGCTGATGACAGGCGTGGCGACGGCGGACTTTGCCGCCGTCGCGAGGAGGACTACTGGCAGCAAGGATAGCATCGTGTTCTCCAGCCGTGGGCTCCGATGGACGGCATCTTTGGAGGCTGCTCGCCCACCGGACGCCAGCACGTACTTATACAGCTCTCTGGTCAGGGACTTGCTGAGGTCGTGACCAGTCCGCCGGATAATGGCTTAGCCATCCAGCAGACGGACATTGTCACCATCCATGGCATCCCCCACACCGGCACTATTGACCGAAGAAACGAGTTAGTGCCGGGACTAGGTTGCCTCTTGGGGATTGTGGGGACGCGCAAGCGAATGCGGGGAGCGCTGGAAGGGGTAGTATGGGGGTGGGGAAATCTGGAGAATGCCCCAGGGTCTGGGGTAAGACCTTATCCCACTGCATTGTGATATCTCCCATCGACAAATTAGCCACTATGCACCACGTGTGGTAAAGCTTGGTACCCCAGGATTATCAAGCTGGAGAGTGCTTAGCCAGAGTATCCAGCTGATGTAACCCGCAAATTTGTCTAAACTATCCTCTTCCCGGGGCTGGTGTAATATCGGGCTAGGGGTCGCTGTGGCGTCAAGCTGGGTCACTGTCTGTTGTGTAAGGCTGGTCTATCGGCTGAGCTTTCCAAGGCTTCGCGGGTGGGAGGAAGACTTCATAGCCAGTGTTAGAAGTTGGAAGGATATCTCTAGGTCTTAGGCATTGGTTTCTGCTCATGTATTGTTGTTGCTTGCTCGGTTAGAGGAAAATGTGGTTGATTCAAGGTGGGAGATGTCCAGCCATGATTGTTGAGGAACTGACGAAGATGTACACGGGCACTCGTCGGCTGCGTTCTCGGTATGCAGGGTCTTCATTACGCGAACGATAACAGACAACTATTTGGTGCCGGGTAAAGTCCGGCAATTACTAGTAGCGAACGAGTCGTGCACTCGAGTATTTTACCCACCGACCATCATCCATCGACCATAGCTGCCTGCACTCCTAGGAGGTAAGATACTGGTAAAGTCTTGGTGACTACCTTATTCAATAATTATACGGCTAGAATTCTCTTAGTACCCCAGGGGCCTAGATAGGCTGATTTTAGCAGAATCTGAGATCCCCTTAACGTGAACTTTATGCATCAAGGACCGTGCTAGCACTGTGCCAACCGCAGAGTGGTGATTGAATGTGCGTCAAAGAGTGGCCCACACATGGTCAACAGCCTCAGGTAGAGCTGAATACGGACATTCTCCGTTCGCATGTGATCCTGAGTGGATGGCTCGAACTCTGATTAAGGAAGCAAGACTAGATGGTACGACCTTCATGATTCTTAGATACCCGAGATTTTCGATTTCATCTTATGGTAGCATGGACTCTACGGCGTCGTCTTCTGTCCTTGGACATGTATCACTTGTACGGGCTCTTATAGCATCTATCCTCTAAAAGCCGTTGAAGTTGCGGTTAACGTCGTTATGTGGTTTTGCTTCTAATCCCCATACATACAAAGGGCATGCAGTGGCATCAGACAGTTGTCAAGATCGAACAAAATGTCAAAGGACATTTGCGCGAGATATCGATTCATCAAAGAAGCTCATGACCTTCTTATTCTACGAGATCATTATGTTCAATGTTCGCAGCGATTTGAGACCAGGTCGGTAACCCCCTGGACCTGGCGCTCCAACGCATGACATCCATCTCATGTGCGTATTGTATTCTCTCTGCGCCTTTACTGGCATTGTTTTTTTTAGTTTTGTCAAAAGTTAAAAGACCCTAGAGAACTCTAGGTCTTATATCTGTCACACTTCATGAAGACGCTATACACATTTCATATACCCCGGGATTTGAAACGACGGAACTACTACGTCCTCAATAGTAGAAGCAATTTGAAGGTGGCAGCCGGCCCCACAGAGCGGAGCGCCAAGCACAGAACTCTCTGAGCCAGGGGTGTCCATGGCTGAGGGGTTTTTACTTGTAGGTGCTGACTTACGCGTCGATCCACGTCATTTCCGGATGAAAAATCGACCATCCGCCACATTCTTCGGAGTTGAGGTTGTAATCTGTCTTGATTCTAGCAGGTTGATGACTTAGACCGCGACGGGCGCCGACTTGTGTTGCCGGGCAGGAGTCGATATGAGCACTCGAGCAATGCAGTGGGTGCTATTACATGCTGTTAAAGACAGCCCTGGAGATTGACTTGCTTTGCCGACCCGACCGGCTGGTCGTTCATCCGACCTTGCTGTGGGGGAGGCTCTCCGCCAAGCTCTCGACCCTTGCTCGCGTGGCGTAGTGCAGCAGGCGTGAGTTAGTGCGACTCCATGATTGACATGTGTATTGTACGTTGCATCATTGATGTCTAGCTAGGGATGTTCCCATCGTGTTCGCTTAAACATTATCGGGCCGAAACGATGGCCTCTCTGTGGCAGTATCGGGGAGGAAGAGGGAACGGCAATGGAGCTCGGTTCTGGCTGACCACTCACTGTCCAAACACCGGCCAGGCGCCGTAGTATGGAGCTCCGTAGTGAGTAGCCTCCCCGGTCTCTCCAGAATTCCACCTCCCCTGCGGTGATGGCTCGTGGGGCCCACGAGGTGGGCACTAGGCACTGTGGGGTAAGAATCACTGAGTCGTCCGACGACGGAAAACACTCAACCAGGCCGTAGCCGAGAGATGGATGCTGCTTAACTACTCTGCGGGGGCTTCCGAGGCTCGCTGCCCATGGTCCTCGCGCCCAGTGCAACAACCAAAAAGGCCGCAAGATGAAGTCGTTCACTACCCTATCTCTCCTCTTACAGGCTGCCCTTGGGTCCTCCCCGGGGCACCACTCGTGGCTCCGGCAAGGCGCAGGGAATGCGTTGCAAGTACCCACAACTTCTGGTCAAGTCCATGGAAAAATTGACCCATCACTACCTAATGTCCGTCAATTCCTGGGCATACCATACGCAAAGCCGCCTGTGGGAGGCCGCCGTTGGACTCCTCCTGAGTTGCTGGACGACCCTGATGCTCAAATCAAGGCCGTCGAGCTTCCACCAAGTTGTATGCAGTCTCTTTCCACCTCAAGTCCCTCAGTATACAACAGGGACGTCTTGGAGTTCAACTTGCAAGGCCTTAATCGGACGGGCGCGATCAGCGAGGACTGTCTAACGGCAAGCGTTTGGGCACCTACCAACGTAAAATCTGCGCTCCCGGTTCTTATTTACGTGTATGGCGGTGGTTTTCAGACCGGTGGTCAGGATGTGCCGTACCAGATCCCCGCACAGTGGGTCAATCGGACTGGCGACCATATCGTGGTGTCTTTCAACTATCGGTTGAACATCTTTGGCTTCCCCAATGCCGCCGGACTGGAAGACCAGAACCTTGCTCTCCTGGACCAGCGCGCATTTGTGCAATGGTGCCAAAGGAACATAGCCGCCTTCGGAGGAGATCCCTCGCGCATGGTGCTGTGGGGTCAGAGTGCTGGGTCGATCTCCGTGGATATGTACAATTTCGCATATGCGGATGATCCTGTCGTTGGAGGGTTTATCATGGACTCTGGAACGGCCGAGTCTGGACTGACCTCAGCGGACTCCCCCCATTCCAATTTCACCTTTGTCGCCGAGAATTTGGGATGTCACGGCTTGAGTGCAGAACCCGCCAAGGAACTGGAGTGTATGCGCGGTGTTGATGCTATCAAAATCAAGGACTTTCTGGCGTCTTATGCAGAGAGTGGTGTATCTCCAGGCCTAGGCTTCAATGCGGTCCCGGATGAGAAGGTTGTCTTTTCAAACTACACACAGCGCGCGCTGGAAGACAAGCAAGCACAGATTGTATGTGTCGCCGTAGATTTTGGCTGAACGCTACTGACCGTGACCGTAGCCAGCCATTATTGGTACGAACACCGAGGACGGTGTACCCTTTGCCCCATACAGCCCAAGCGGGCCCAACCAGACCCTCGCCCTCCAAGCCGGACTGGCCACGTTCTTTTGCCCGGCTACCCAGACCACTCGTCTCCGCCAGCAAACAGGACGTGTGACGTTCCGTTACCTTTACGCTGGGTAAGCATTGTTTTCTTGTCGATAGTATTCAATCTTCTCGGGTGCCACCGTCTGTGATTCGTAGCAGGTGATTAACCTGTTCTAGCAACTTTACCAACATCTCACCGCAGCCGTGGCTCGGCGCATACCACTCAGCCGAGTTGCCCATGCTTATGGGTACGCACGGAAACTTCCGAGGCGCAAGCTCAGAGCTGGAGGAAGCGACAAGCTGGGCCTTTCAGGACGCATACGTCGCCTTTGCAAGTGACCCAGTCAGTGGGTTAGCCAAACAGAACTGGGAGGCTTATGCTGAGCTTGGCAGCTCCAGTGTGCGGGCGTTTGGTGCTAGGGTTGCAGCCGCGGATACCAGTGTCGCGGAGATGGAGGCTTTATGCCATGGGGCTCAGCTTGCATCTTGAAACTTGTGTGATCGGGCGTTGATGCAGGAGATGTGTTGAATCTGTGTTAATTTTCAAACATCGTGATAGGCTTCTGCACGAGGCCGCTAGGAGTTTGTCGTGGAAATTTGGATAGTGCAAAGAATTAACACAGGATTTAGTTGCCGCTTCATCCGGTGACGTCTCCTTCAAGCTCTAAGGAAAACGTTCTTCAATGACAGCGAGAAACGCTTTTTGACCACGGATTTGGAGAGCTGTCCTTCCGCGGCTGACAGCCAGAGTGAAATGAAAATCTTGGAAGGAAGTCGGAAATCCAGCTTGAGGTTAGACGAAAGACGTCCATGCACGGAATATATACCTAGGTAAGTATGCGGCTTTAAGCTCACCGGATCGACGGCTTCCGGTACATGTTAAACTCTTCCCGTACTCCTGTTCGCGCCTATATTCGAGGTTTCAATGTCTGAGCCGAGGATGAACTTACGCACAAGGCATTTCTAGCATCTCCAGAAGATTCCAATCAGTTTGCGTCTTGCTGACCCTTTTCAGTCAAGAAGTTGCCGTTGAACATCGTCCGATTAGCTATCGATGCACTTTATAGAGGAGATCCTGGCGAGGTTCGCGTTCCACCTAGTTTCGCTTCTATTCCACGTACATCTGAAGACATAGTTCGCTTTCTACAAACATCGAGTGAGCTATATTAATCCTGAAGTCACCGACATGGAGAAAGTGCAAACGAACTATCCCGTCTATATGATGAACTATAAGAGGAAACAAAAACTGATCTAGCGACTCTCTTCCTTCCGGCTGTGCATTTCAAATGCTCCCTTAAGCACCGCCCTCCACTCAGGACCCGCATCCTCAAGCACAACCTCACCGCACCTACGTTGCCTAACCTCCTCCGCCGTAACCCACCGGTAATCCACATGCTCTTCCGGATCAAGCGTAACCCTCGGCCCTCCCATGCCTTCCTCCTCCTCGCCCACCTCACCAATCTCAACCTCAAAAATCACCTGCCGCCACGTTCGAACCCCATCTCCCTCAGGAAACTCCCGGTTTGCCACCCATCTCACCACCCGCACGGCCTCGAGCCCCGTCTCCTCGCGTAGCTCACGGACCGCGCCCGCCGCCAGGGAGGAGTCGCCGTCTGCGCCACGGTCGACGGACCCGCCGGGTAGCTCCCACTTGAGCGGGAAAAAGTCGTGGGGTGAGCGTTGTATTAGGAGGAGACGTGGCTGGTGTTGAGAATGGGGTTGAGGGTGGTAGAAGACTGCTGCGCTGCCTATTATGTCGGTGATGCTCGGGTTGGCGGCGAGGTAGGCTTCTGGAGAGAGTGCGTATGGAGAGGAGAGGAGTTCGGGGGTGATGGTGTAGGTGACGCTGCTGCGGGTAGCGAGCGTGTCGTTGGTTTGTTGCTGGTTGTCGTCGGATTGACCAGCAGAATCCAGAGCTGAGCGGCGCCCTTGGTGGGACGATGACTGGTTTGGAGACATTGGGAGCAGTGAGGTATTGTGGTGGAGGAGGCTTCCTGGAATGTCAGCAGGCAGAAACAGAGCGCGAGTAAGAGCGGGAAAATCGCTTACTCAATCGTGGGTTTTATACAGACAAGGTAGACTGCAGGTCGTAGTGAGCTTAGTCGGACACAAACCACGCTAAATTAGCAACTTAGGCTATACTCTCCTACCTAGAAAAGAAATCATAGATAAATTAGTTACAAGTGCATTTAGTTTTTTAATAATTTTTTAATAGTTTAAATTTAAAATATAGATAATATTAAAAGTTTTTCTAAAAATAATTTTAATATTAAATTTTTAAAATAAATATAACTTTAATAAACTTTTTAAAAATAATTTAAATATTTAATTTTTAAAATAAACTAAAATAAATATATTTTATATAATAAATTCATTTTATAATAATTAGAAAATAACTTACTATATAAGTAGTATTATTATATAATATTTATATTTTACTTTAAAAACATCTAGCCTCTTTTAAACACCCCACTTTTCACCCTAGCTTTAAACCCTATGGTAAAAATCAGTCAATCGCTCGCAAATGAATGCCTAGGACACCCAACAACTTCTCACTTTCCCCGCCACATCTCCCTCCCTTATCCACTTAATAGCCACTTAGCAGAGTCCGTGAACTTCAATCTCAACTGCCATCAATCCATCATATAATCACTGCCAGCCATTCTAAAGAATGATTGGAGAGTCGGCAAGACCGACACCAGCCTCCGACGGCGAGGCCGAGGCACGCAAGTTGACAGTGGACGATCTGAGCCAGGAACATCGCAATATCTTCATTCGTGCACTATTCAATGTCTTATCCACACCCGCTTCCGAGACTACATTTGCCCAGATTATTGATGGGGCACCGCTCAGCCAGATTGTGTTAGACGCCCACAATGGGGTCTACCCCCCAACACACCCTGTCCGTGTCCAACACATTGAACTATGCCCAGGAGTCTTGGATCAGGTCAGGCAAAGCCGCAGCACTTTCGACTCAAACGACTTGAAATTCGATGCCCATGTATGAAAGCGGAACCATTCACTGCACCATACCACTCAATCTTATCTTCCCCCATCTCTCAATGTCGATCTTTGTGCTAATATAATCTGTTTAGCTTGTCTATAAATACCAAGCTGCATCGCCAGGTTCAAGGGCCTTTAAAACCTGCCTGATCGAAATGGTTGCTGTTGCTATCCATCAATGTGCAGTCAATCTATACGAACTCGATCTAGACCTGGGCAATCACAAAGACCTTGTAACATGGGCAGCACCTACAAGTATGAAAGGCTTTTATAGCGTCTATCCAACTGGCCAGCTACCAACTCTCTTTATGCACAAAAACTATCGGGATTTTAAGCAGTACCCCAATGGTGCAGCTGATATAGTAGGATACTGGGCTGAGTCACAAATATTCGGCGGTGTTGTGCTCTTTGACCGCCGCAAGCCCTCCGATCGCGAGCCTCATGAGGATGTAGGTCAACTTTCTTGTTAAAGCGTCTCTTTTCCTCTCCAATCATTACAGTACTGCCCAATGACGTAGTAAATACTAATGCTATACGATATAGCCTGACGCCGTTTTCTTTCATTCAAACCATAAGGACGGGTCTTGAGTGCTTACCACCGTATGAAGGCGCCATGTATGTCCTCGGACGTATACGGAATAGAAGCGAAACCACACAAACCATAAGGACTTCACCTACCGGATTTGGCAGCTGCTCGATACACAAAAGAAAGATCTGCTCGACTTTCTGCTCTCGGGCCTCGATCGGAACACAGATTATGACATCCCTTGTCCCTTACCTATCTTTCCCAATGAAAGGAATCTGACGCGAATCGATCCGGAAGAGCCAATCTCTGAGACTGGCATCTATCGAGACATTTGGGAGCGTAAGCCTCTTGGTGATGATGACCCAGACCCACGGTCACACTGCTGCTCGTTCAACACTGTAGATTATACGAGTCGGGAGGACTTTCTTAATTCCAGGGAGAGATGTTGGGAACGGGCGGCAGCCATAGATCAAAGATGGGAGCCTGAGGCAGAAGTAGAAACAGAGGATGTTTACGTAGCTGGAGCTGGGCAAGAAGAAGAAGGGGACGATGACGAACTCGCAAAGGTCTTGAAAGGGCATAGAGGATCAACTGGGTTGTCCTGATCATCCTTTATCATGAGCCATGAATCACCCTGCCTGATCTCTCGGATTCGAAACATCCCTGACAAGCAGCCTGGCAAATTTACATCACTACATCGAGACATCAAAGCACGGGAATTCCATTATGTTGCGAGGGTTAAACCTGTTTCAGTCTCCTAGGTCATACCAAGTCTGCAATCTAAACACAATCCATCACACCATTTCAGCCAAAGTCACCCTGACATGTCTGCACATCCGGGTGACAACCATGTTCGATATGAGGCTGGCCGACATTTTAGTCTTCGTCCTCATAGTCCATGGCATCACCGGATTCCTTCCGAATATGGCCCCGAATCGACGTGTCTGCCGACTGTGCGGCATCCCCCGCCGGAGCGCGACGGCCCTGTGCATCCACGTTCCTGTTGACCAGGAACGGGTCGCCCGGCAAGAGCATCGCAGTAAGGTGGCGGCTTCTGGCCACCTCACTCGTCGCAGGACCATCCCGATCCGGGTGACGCTGCCTGATGAATCTGGCATCCCACGTCGGTCCAGACGGCTGAGTGCGGGAGGCACGAGCGATCAGGGGCTGGATGTCTCGCTCCTCCAAGTTGCGAACCACGAACTGGCCGTTCTCAACAACTGCAGACCCATAAGGCATCGCGTCAGACCTCATGGGCCTGGCCCGCTGCCCTTCCTCCACGGCAAGCCTCCCATCTTCGTTTTGGGGGCCGCTCCCAGACTCGTTCAGCCGAGAGCCGAAGTTGACCCCCTCAACATGCTGCTGGGGGTCGGTCTTGCCAGCCTCCCAAGTGTGGAGAGCATTGGCCCTGGCTGGACCCATGCCACCGCGGCCTCCTCCGCGGGGTTTTCCACCGCGACCACGGCCCCTGCCCCGGTCCGTGTTCTTTTGAACGCGGGCGTCATTTCGATGACCAATCGGGCCATCACCACGCCTCCAGGGGCGTTGGCGGCCGCCGCCATCGCCGCCACTGCCACCAGCACCGGCGAAGCCTCCATGGCCACTCCGGCCGATATTCGCGGCACCGGCATCAGCGTGCTTGGGCTGCGCATCGCCCAGCAGCGCTCCACTCCCAGACTGTCCCTGTCTGCGGCGAGGGCGCCACTTGTTGTCCCCGGTCATGAAGGGGATGGACGCGATGTCCAAATGCCTCTTGCTTTCGGCGTCCTGCAGCCTCTTCATCCCCGCAGCACCGGCCGCGAGGAACGCCGCTGCTTGACGGTGTTGCGCCTCTGCTTCACGGGCAGTCTGGTTGTCCATGTAGAGGACGGCCGGGTCCTGTATGCCGGTGCGCTCCTTGAAGGCATTAAGGCCCTCCACCACAGTCCGTTGGTCGGCGTTGTGCATCCACGCAATTGAGGTCGCGTTGGCTTCATCGGGGTTCGACGCCTGCTGCTGATTGTCGCCAAACGCTGGCGCCGGGCGCATGATGCTGTTCAACACCGCCCCCACAGTCAGGTCGGCTGGGAGAGTGTGAATCGTCAAAACTGGCTGTTCCCTGTGGCCAGCAGCCTGCCTGTCAACCGGGCTGTTCCGACGGACCCGGTTGTTTGCGCACTCGGAGGCTTTGTGGCCCCAGCCGCCGCAGGTGTAACACCGTTGAGGAAAACCCTGACGCATCTTTTCGTGTACTGTAAAAGGAATGATATCTTGTAGAAAGCGGCGTCGAGATGTGGCTCTGTCTTCACAGCCGATGGCAAAAGAGTGTGTTGAGTTGCGGTTGAGGTTGCGACTGTGGGTGCAAGGAGGGCTGCTCTGTTTGTTTCCTGGGGACCCACTTTAGGTTGGACCTGGGGCTTCGAGCCTCCCCTTTGGTCAGATAATTGGTGGCCTGGACTTTACAGTGGGCTTGGGCCTTTCAGTTGAGCTTGAATTAGGGGAGCTCGGGTTTTACAGGAGAGCTTCCGGTGATGGGATGAGAGGCTGTGCCCATCATACCAAGGCCCGACTCCTCTGTTCGAGTCCCTTGCCTGCCTCCCTTCATTATTATGATTCCTCTCCAAGCCCGCTCTTCTATATCACCGCAATTTTTGCTTCAGTTCTTAAACCTATTTTCCCGCAGTAAATTTGAACATCTTGTGGCGTGTGGCCATTCTCAAGATCCATCTTCACTCGCACCTCGCATCCATTATGGCTGAACCGAGTGGCTTGGTGGCACAACTGAGAATACCTTAAGTAGGGATACAGTTCCAACATAAACTAAGATGTTACACTTGCAGGGATGTAAAAAGGAATGGGTTTGCCCATGTTCATTCCTCTGTTTCACGTAATGAACCGGGTCCATCCTGAGAAAGATGTATGTGTTGGCGACGTAGAAGTGAGAGAGTTTATAGATATTTCGATTTTGATAACCTTCCAGCCTTCTCAAATTGGATAAATATCCATGAGCTTTGTGGACTAAATAACCGCATGTATTTCGACATATACAGCGAGTTTCACCGGCAGCAACCAGTCTTGAAGTCACGTGCAACGAGAACACGCATACATGTCACAAGTCTAATTGGAATGGGTATGAACCTAACAATCTAAGACCACTGAAGGAAAGGAGGAAAGACTCGCAACTCTGTTGTAATTATTTTGTTTAAAGAACTCACTCCTATGGCCCCGTCACACCCCTAGAGTTGTGCTGGCCCTTCTCACTGGAGCAGGTGCTCGTAACCAGCAAAGAACTTCCTCCGCGCCTCACTCAAATCAGGGGCAATGTTCTTGGGAAGTCTAGCCTCAGACGCCTTGGAAACAGGGGTGAAACCACTGGCACTGTTGGCACTTGGGTCCAGCGCCTTGAGTCGTTCACGGAACCTTTGGTCATCCGTGACACCCGGGCTCTGACCAAACTCGCCATGGCCGGATATCGACCGGTTCTCGATGGCTTCATCCGGATTATCAAGCCGGTGATAGTAAAGCATTGCCATCTTGATCGGCATTTCCTCAGGAACCGGCCCCACATGACGGAGATGCGCAATATCCTTGCTGAGCGGATAAAAGTCCTCGCCTTCCGAGTCGAAGGTGTAGACGAAATCATCCCCGTCCCCAAAAGACCTCATGACCACGGCAACAGCCAACCTGTATCTGACGTGGGTCTCAGATATCGTGTAACTGCCACCGGTCTCGTTGCCGGGCCGAACATTGAACCCCGTGAGGTGAAGGCGTGTCTGCTCCTTCACCTTGGCCAACAGGACAGGGGCCGAGTTTGTCATCTTGACGCGCATAGACCTGGGCCAATTTGGCAGCATCATACAAGTGCTGCCACCATTGACCTCCCTCAAGCCAAACATCTTGTTGATCCTCTTCTCGAGGCTTGGCTCTTGGTTCCCGTCCCAGTCGATGGGCTGGTGCTGAACAGCCCGCTCTCTCGTATTCCATGCGCTCTGCCCCGCCTCCTGCCAGCCGACCACGTTCCGGACCACCTGAAGCTCAGCGCTCCCCCAAAACGAGGCCAGCATGAGCTCAGACTCCATCAAAGCCTCAAATGAGAAATGGGACTGGTCACTGCCGGGCTCCAGGTCAAGATCCCTCAAAAGGTCCCGCTGCCGGTCCATCACCTCGTATCGCAGCACCGGGCTCTTGGACACGGACTCGTGTTCGAGGTCGGGGAGATGGTGCCATACATATCGGAACAGGGCTCGGTAACAGCCGAGTTCTTCCTCTCCCACCTCGTGTCTGGCTCGGTCCTTTTCCCCAAACAGCACAGCTCGGCAGTGACTGTCTGTCGGCATGGTTCGCAAGACTTGGCGCAAGACCAGAACCGCACACTCAATGCCAGTGGTGTTGCAGGCGGGATCCTGGATCGGGAACGGCCATGTCTGGTGCAGCAGAGTGTTCTGTACGTCCTCTTCTAGCTCGCGTATGTCCTCCACGGCGACCCTGTCCGGATCGACCTTGCTCTTGGTGGCCATGGTGAGGCCTGTATGTGTGTGGGTGGAGGGTCGGTTGTTGCGCGTGCAGGTAGGGACAATCGAATCTGGGATTCAAGCTTGGCGAACGAGCGCTGGGGTTGTTGTCTTGGTGATTTCTTCCAAAGACCCAAGCCTGCAAGTGGGTCCTATCGTCCCAGACTGCTAACAGGTACCCAGGTACCTCCGATGTTTCAGCGGCCTAAAGGGACAAGCAGCTCGAAAATTACCACTCTCCAGTTTGAGCTGTTCGCTCACGCCCTCCGACACCCACCCGACCATCGTCCGCAAGCCCACCCATCGCCACCGTCCGATACGTTTTCAATCCTGTTCATCGACCTCACAATGGCGAGCGAGGGCGTCGTGGACCTGCTCAAGCTGCCCCTCGAGAAGCGGAGCGAGTCACTCAGGGCGAGATGGCCCCAGCCGCTCGACGGCAGTCTCACTGGCCACGAGGGGCGGGACTGGACAGTGGGGGAAAAGGCCGCGATTGACACTGCAGTGCTCATAATAAGGGCAATCAACGCTCATTGCGACCCTCTCGACCCGGCCCTTGGCCTGGAAGAGTCGGCCGTGGAGGCACGGCGCAAGGCCGAGGAGAAGACACACCTCCTCCGCTATTCATGGTACACCACCCCGTACAGCCGACCATACGAGGTGGCCGATGCCGTGCTGAAGCTACAGAGGCACGTGTGTCGGAAGGTCTTGAGGGGAAACGCCAAGATCACATTCGAGAGGCTGATAGAGAGTTCTGTTCTGGCAGATGCGTTCTGGTCACGGCCCGAGTTCCTGGCCTGGTCCTTGACAGAAAATGTGCGCCACGAGGGGGCAGGGTGGACCATGCAGAAGATGACCTGCATCCCGGCTGGAAAGGATCAGCCCTTGGCCGACGAGTCGGCTGTCCCTGAGGTCCTGGCCAAGAGGAGCTTGATCAAGTGGAAGTGGGACGGCAGGACGCAGCTTGCAGAGTTTTTCGGCACAAAGTTCAAGCTGGAGTGGTCCAGTGCTGACGGGAATGTCCACCACCAAGGCATTCGAGCCTGTCCTCGCTGCCTCCGGGTCAGGTATGATCCTGGGGGTCGCGATGATGCACCGGGGTTTACGGAGCTGGCACGGATGGCCATGGACGACCCCATCCAGGGAGAGGTCGTGTGTTACCGGTTGCTGGCCACGGTCAAGCTGGGCAGCACAGGCTGCGACTTCGTTCGGGTGTACGACAGCGATATCCGAGACGCCCAGCCCATGGCGGCCCGTACCTTGGCCCTACCGCATGTTGACTCCGACTGGCAGCTGGGCCAACCGGGTTCCAGGTTCATGCTGTATTACATCAGCTGTGATGCTGAGGTAGAACCAGACTTCGACCCCGAGGAGATCGTTGTGGTTTCAAGGAGGGAAATCGAGCTCTTGGGGCATCTCAACGCGGCCAGCCAGTCCATCATCTCAGGAGCCCCTGAGCCTGAGGCATATGGGTATACTACCGTTAGTGAACCTAGCGGTAGTCAGGATGGTGCCCTGGAACTATACAGGAAGGGTCAGGCATCCGGCCGTGACCCCCGTGCTGTAACTCGGGAGCGTGTCAGAGAGCAGGGTGGGGATCTGGACCTACTGTACGGAGCAGGTCACCGCCCGTGATTGGTTCAGATGGCTTCACGGAGGACGATTCAGATGGACTGGGCAGTCTGCGCTGTAGATAGAATCAATTTTATCCCACGTGGTCGCTCCCACTTTGGAGAAGGATGCTGACGGTCAAGCTGAAAACCACCGCATTGTTCCAATGGTGTAGAACTTCTAGTATTATCAGTGAGAGTGATTGTCTACCGGGTTCCGAGCAGATTCGATTCTAAAGTTTGTGTATTCTTGAGTTCACTGTAGGCTGAGCTGCGATTTCCGACAGGACAGAGCGGGACGTCAATAATTCACCACGCCTGAGTTATAAGTCGACAGATCACTTGGTGATCCATCCCCGTCTTACATATTCATGTTGTCTTGTCTGGCACGCTGGTACAATCGATGGGGGTGCCAGTGCATCAATTGCCTTTGGTGGACATCAGGCTGTGTAAGTCACCGCGGCTTGGATCCAATGAGATTTGCCGGCTGTCCTGATGAGGAAGGCTTGTGGATCAGGGGTTGAGGAGGATTCTTGGCACAGGAGCCTTGGCGGCAGGTGAAATTGGCTAGATATGAGTTGTCGGTCAGTGGATACCTTTGCACACAGCTTTCTTTAAATTTACCGTTTCTCACTAAAATAACATTTTTTCACTATATATATTAAATTATAAATTTTTAATTATATTTATATAAAATTAAAATAATTTATTTCTATTAAATTTAAATTTAAATAAATAAATATTTTATTTTATAAAATAAATTAATAAAATAAATTAATAAAATAAAATAAATAAAATTTATTTAAATAATAATTATATTTATTTTTATAAATATAAATAGATAATATTTTAAATAAATATTTAAAAGTTAAATTAATTTAAGTAAATAGAAAAAATAATATAAAATATATTTTAAAATTTAATTATTAATTAATATTAAAGTTTTAAAATATTATTTTATTTAAAATATTATATAATTCTTTATATATTAAAAATATATAATTTAAAATTTAAAGTGTAATATATATTTTATTTTATTTATAATATTTATATATTAGAAATTAGAGAGAGATTAATATAGTTCTTTTTAGAGTGAAATAGGTGTGTGTGAAGGGAGTTGTGTCTGAAGATATCTCTTAAGTTGAATGCATCTGGAAGATCTTGAAACAAAACAGCATCACTCACTTCCACTATAGAGAGAGCATATGATCTTGATTCTCCACTCATCTTAACAGAATGCTATCTCTAGACATGACGAATTTGAATGAACGGAGATTGAAATCACTCGAGATTGATGTCACTCATGTCCACTGTGGACGGCCAACAGTTGCCCCACTAGTACCAAGGTACCTAGGTACCTACCTAGGTAGGTATCAAACCTCTCTCAACCTCGCAACCACCCACTTACCTTCCAACACCCAAACAACAAGCCTCAAACAAGAGCGACACCTCCGCAAAAAGCCCGCCCCAAACTACGAAGTCTACCGAATCGAGACCAATACTCAAGATGAATATCGCGGACGAGGAGATCAAGGAGGAGATCCGCAAGTGGGTCACAAACGACGACTCTAGGGTGGGAAGAATCACCAGCCGCACCCCGCTGGCCATCAACAAGCAGGTGCTGGGAGCTGTCTGGGACGCGGTCCAGACGATGGAGGCCGACGCCAGGCTGATGATCGTCCACGTGTGCAACACCACGCTGGAGGCCGAGCTGCTGGACCACCAGCTCAAGGACAAGGACTTCCGCGGCGGGAGGATTGGCGAGCAGTCGGTCGTGAGTAAGACTGGGCACGCTCTCGGCGCTGTGGTCTTGCTTTCATACCTACGGCTCAGACAGCTGCTGGAGGCTAATACTAAGGCCCTGAGACCTCTGTTCCCCAGCCGCGTCATCGTGATCTGCGAGCAGGAGCCGGGCAGCAACATGGACGCCGTCATCGCACGCGGCCAATTCGCGCTGCTGGCCAGGGAGAATCTCGTGAGGCAGTCGGGATTCAATGTCAAGATGCTGGGGCTGTCATACCGCCCGCACGGAGGCTGGGACTGGCTCGACCACCCGCACCGTGTCATGTCAACATTGCCCCCGTCGCGTTCGGTGGCCTTGTCGCTCGACCTGACTGACACATATGAGCCTAGCAACGGGCAGACTCAGGTCAAAGAGTACGCCCGAAGCGATACGGCCATTGTCAGGACCGCCTCGCTCGCAGGCGGTTATCTGCGGGACAACAAACACGTTGTGGTGTATGGGAGTCCTCATGACATGCAGACGTTCATCGAGATTGTCGAGAACGACCAAGAGACGGATGTCCCCGTGCACTCCACTCTTGTCAAGGGTACTGGTCGAGACATCGAACTCGACATCGACACCGCGAAGTTGTTGATAAAGGACAGCGGCGATCTGCCCGGCCATCTCGTGGCTGTTGAGTCTGGTTCGTTCTCCGTGGCACTGCCGTTCGTCCGGGTGGGTATGGTGGTCTCCATCACCGGAAAAGACCCTCACAAGATGTACGAAAATGATCTGCACCTGACGAGTGTCTTTTTCGACGTCGAGTCGGACCTTACACGCGCTTCTCAGCGGTGGACTGGGCAGAGACGTGAAGGCCCGAACTCGGGACGCCCAAGCCGTGTTGTTGAGATTCTGGACAGAGAGGCTTCAACGTCTGATGCCCATATCCAAGAAGGCACCCCTGACCCGCTGCGGGAGTTCTTTGTCATGGCTGCTACGTATCCCGGGAGGCCGCTGAGTCTGCTTCCGATTTTCAAGGCAGTTGACGACACCCGGGACCTGGCACGGCGGCTGCGGGTCATGGGACTGCTGGTGTATCAGGGCCAGGGGTTTGAGCTGACCGAAAAGGGCCACAGGGCAATGGCTCTCATCGACAGGAAGCCGTCCCTGACCATTGAGTCGGCAACAGCCCTCGCCGGCATCGATGGCAGCCGCATGGGGGCAAAGGTGGTCAGGTCCATCTTGAGGCTTTGCTTCATAAAGGACATGCACTCATCCTTTGTGACAGATACACCCATGGGTGTGCGGAGCGATGATGAGTTTGTATCGTTCCTGCGCCGCGCCCCCTTGGAGCTCGAACAGGGTGGGCCGGGGAGGCACTATGTCGACATGGGCATGATCTGGCTGATGTGGGCTTCTTTTGAGTGCATATCCGCTAGCCTGGATAGCCAGAACGCCGGTCCGACCGAACATGTCGCCCCGGGTCAGAACTGGCCCGTTGCCCTACAGATGGCCGGGGTGAGAGAGGCCATGGAGAAGCTCGCTTCGTGGGAGCGCCTGATGGGCCTCGCACCCATGACTCCAGCCGAGCAGGAGGAGTGGAACCAGCCTTTCACTCCGAGCGAGCTGAACATGGTAGAGGAAGAGATCGCGCGGGCTAATTACTCCACTGCCATCGTCATCCCGTTCCCGGTGGATCGGACCCATGAGGACCCATATCACCTGACTGCCGTCTGGCTGCGGACGGGGGAGCCGGCCAAGATTATTGGCGAGTTTGACCAGTACTTGTACGCCTACAGGTTTGCAATGACGGGCCACATCAGACTCCCGGACGGAGAAGAGCACATGCTCATCGGCGGCTTTCCTTTGGGTGTCGTCAGACAGTTCGTGGTCTCAGTCTCTGTCCACAGCTTGATGTGGTATGACTATGATGTGACCAAGTCACTCATTGGTGACCTAGACGCACCGGATGTGGATCCCTTGGTTCGGGAGATGGCCAGGCGGTGATCGAGAAGCCGTGGCTAGGAAGTTTGGGAAACCCGTCAGATTCAGAGTTCTTACTGCATAAATCCGATTCCTAGGTATCCAGATGTCCGTGACAATGTAGCCGCTTCTACCGTGTGTGACTTTACCTAACTATACTAAGACTCGCCCCTTCAGATACCCCAGCCGAAATGCCAGCCCTCCGCTGTTTTTCCATAAGTGCCTTGAATTTATCGAAGTAGTGCAACGTGAAAGTTCACCCCTTCTTTCAACCCCTCGCCCCGTGCCCTGATGTCCGGTCAAACATGATCAGTTTGAAATAAAGCTCTCCCTCCTGGTCCCTCCCCATTTATGATAAAAAAAGGTGGTGTGAATTGACCCTTTTGGGTCAGGGGATCTGGCTCTAATGCGTGGAGACATGGAAAAATGTGGAACACAAGGTTCGGCCCGGATATTCAACTGAAGGGCGACGACTCTACTCCGAGGACACATTCTGGATCGTGGCGGAAAAGTGATTGGGTCCACACTCCTATTCTGTGGAGAAATAATCTATCCATGTGTCTTTCAGCGGCCGTTTCAAAGACTAGGAATTTAGTATTTGTCTTCCTGAAGATCCTTTCGGCGGGTGGACCCGAGCACAACCAGCAGACAGCAACCGGTCTCTATTAAGACCATTCAGTTGAGGATGAAATGTTAAAATTCGTATCGACCAGTCATAATAAATCCTCTCCCTTGGTTGAGAATAGTTTCCCAGGTGTATGCTACTGCTCTGGACATGTGAATCAAGATCCACTCAAGCCAATTATTGGATGCCCCTTGTCCACGCGTAATGCATGGCACGGAATCCAGATGCGGGCACCAATAATCTCTGCATCAGCTTTAAATAATATTTTAATACATTTAATGGCAAAATACTGCATACAAATGTTCACATGAAGCCGATTGAGGCGCCATTTCGTCGATCGGCCTCGGAATGTCCGAGTCGCGCCGCACTGAGCGTGTCGGCTGTTGACGTTCATGGAGCCTATCAAGTATTTTTGAAGTCTATTCTATCATGGTGCGTTGTCGCAAATATACCTTAGGATGTCTTGTTGTCAGCCCTTGGAATCGTCGGACCAAGACTCCCTGGCGGATGAGGCAACCACCATGCTTCCCACAACATCTTGCATTGGTAGGTGCATGGAGACTGAAATAATCAGCCAGCGATTAAACTCAATAGAATTTGACAATTTTAAAAAGACTTGAAAGCATCTTTATGTCAGAAACTGGTTTTATTCCCGTCGCCAATTTTGTGTGGTTGCGGCAGTGTTCAGAGTGGAAGGGGCGCACCCACCCGCGCTCCTTCCGCAGCATGCCTTCCTCATGCGGACCGCACCCAACTTCAGCTCTGCGGCTGCCCGTCTCCCAAGGCAGATTTCAAAAACCGACAAGAAGCACACAGAAAACGCCCTGACACAAATTTGATATCAAAATCAACATCCAAAGTGTGCAAATCGACCCGCAGCCTCAAGTTTACTTGATATTCTTTCTTGTGAGCAATGCATGACCCATGCGCGCCCCTGCACCCGCCGGTTTGGACTGACCGCTGACACACTGCCTGCAGGCATCATTAAAATGGCACCTGCGGCAGAATCCGCCCCCCGAGAGGGCCTTCAGCGGCTCGAGAAGCTCTCCGCGCAGATGGGATTGGAGGCCCGTCCTCACAAGATCAAAGAGATGGAGCAGCTCGCAGGGCAGTTTGTACCGCTGTACGAGCGGTGCACTGCAGACCTGGCGCGGCGAGAGGAGGCACTGGCAGCCCGAGAGGCTGAGCTTGCTGCTGAGAAGACCTCGATAGAGGCAGCAAAGGCTGAGCTGAGGTCCCAAGAGGCTTTGGCGAGGCTCGGCGAGGACGTTGGCGAGATCAACGCCCGAGATAACAAGTTCAAGACCAGCTTGTTGTCTTCGAACGAGAAGACGGTGGCGGAGATTGGCAAGACCGGCGCGAAAGTGGCCGAGTCTGAAAATCGACTTGCAGACACGATGCAGGCAAACCAGAAGGCCTGCATGGAAGCCATCGATTCGTGTGATGACAAGATCAGCACGGGTGTTGCCGAGGGCGTGGCAGCCGGGGTCAGGGTCTCCCTGAACTTCGGTGTGCGCTGTATAAACCAGGGCACTGTGGCCTTGGCAGCGTGTGAGAACAACCTCGCACTCAAGTTGGACGACACGACCCGCGCCGTGTCCAACTCCGAAGACACGGTGAGAGGTGCTGTGTCTTCGTGTGAGGAAGTGTTGCTGGCCGACGGGAACCAGACCCGTGAAAAAGTGTCTTCTTGTGAGGAAAATCTCGAGCACAAGTTGGCTGCTCTGTCTTCCGGTGGGGAGACCCTCGGGAAAATGCTGGCTGCCTTGTCTTCTGATATGGGAGGCCTGAAGCAAGAGATAACCCGGCTCGTGTCTTCGGGTCAGGAGGACGTTGTGGGGACACTGTCTTCTCACAAGCAGGAGATGACATCGTCCGTGAGGGAGGTGAAGAACTTGGTCGGGGAGATGGGGCTGAGTGTGGCCGAGGCCTTCGACGATGATATTGCTGGCCTGAAGGCCCACATAGACTCCCAGACTGATTCCACAATCAGGGGGTCGGTTGCTGAGGTCAAGGCAACCTTGGACCAAGGCCTTGGGAAACTGTCGGAAGAGTTGGGCCAGTGCCAAACTGAACTGGCGGCTTTTATGGCAGAGGATAGGCTGAAGTCAGTCTTCGCGGGAGTTTCTCGGGACGATGAGGTCCTGCAACTTGTTCGCGATGTGCTCGGCGCGATACCCCAGCCAGACACCAGGTTAGCCGAGGGCATGTCTGAGATCAAGCAGATGCTTGAGGACAGGTCTCGCCGGGAAGGCGAGTTGGAGACACAGTTGGTAGATGCCAACAAGAAGATTGAGTCGGTGAGTGCTGACCTTGAGAAGTCAAAGGGTGAGCGAGACCAGCTGCAAGCGGAGCTGGATCAGCTCAAGACCAAGCTCCCCCAGACCCCTCGTCGATCCGACCAGGACTCGGGGTCAGACGAGTCAAGCTTTGATGTGAGCTCGGAGGTGGAACAAGAGATGAACAATCTCGTGGATGCGATCGCCCCAGAGCCGGTCGCCGCTGGGCCAGAGGCCCCAAAGGTGCCGGATCTCCAGGCCAGGATCCGGGATCTGGAGGACGAGCTGCGGCGGTCCGCCGAGAACGTGGTGTCCAAGGTTGATCTTACTGACGCCATGGACAAGATGTTTGGCAAGCTGTCCCTGCGGGAGGACCAAGCGGCCAAGATCGCTGAGCTCGAGAGGGACCTGCAGGCGTCAGCCAGGAGGGCTCTTGACGCTGAACAGAGAGCCGCTGCCCTTGAGACAGCGGCTGAGGAGGGGACTGGCAACCGGGGACGGAAGCGGTCCCGGTTGAACCAAGACGACAGCAGCTCGTCCGAGGAGGCTGGTAAGTCCATGTTCAAGGCCATGTCTTTGGCCGTGCACAAGGCCATGGACGAGGTCAAGATCAGGCAGGCAGACGAGCCTAACCTCCCCATGGCGGGAGTCATGGTGAGGATGACTCAGGCATTTGCCTATCCCGAGCGCAAGGATCGCCTGCTGAAATTCATCACGGGCGACAGAACGGGCAAGCTTTTCTGCTTCGGGTCCCTGATGTTTGATGATGACCCATCGGTCGAGCAGTGCAAGTGCAACGAGCTGGAGGGCATCGATTGTACGGAGTGCCTGTCCGTCCGCGTCTTGAACGCGAACGAGATGGAGATTGAGTTTTCAATGGTGAACTTGATGCCATAGGCGTCTGCCTCGTGCATTCATAGATGCAGGTCAACATTCTCTTAGTAAATAGTTGATGAATTCAAGTCGCCGTGCACCGCTCTAATAACAATTACTATGTGTAGATCTCAGTAGCATTGAATTCCAATCTGCGCCCGGCCTTCAAATACAAGTTTTGCCTGTCTATGTCTGTCAAAATCATAGCCATTTCAACCAGTCCGAAGCTGGCTCTCCGAGAACCAAGCTGGTGACCCTCAACAGGCTAATACCCATACACGAGGCCGACTCAACCAGCAGTCTCCCATTCGCGGCCTCTTTGACACGATGCGCAACGACCAAATAGGCCTTTTCCGGTCTGCTCTCGATCTTTGCGATGCGTGGATGAACTATCAGGCTGTCTTGGGCCAGGTGCACCTGGTGGCCGCTGCCCAAGAGCGAGATCCTGTCGGTCTCCAGGTCCCACACAGCGAGGCCGGAAATAAACGCGGATATGAGCTGAGCCTGGACATCATGCATCTCAGAAATCCCCAGGGGCTGTTCCCATTCCGGATCGGAGGCTTCCAGCAGAGGGAGCCCGAGTCGCAGCTCGAGATCCGCAATAGCACGGTAGATCTCGATCGCATCATCGCGGTCAAAGGTCCCGAGACCCTCGATTGCAAAATCGAGGCTGTGCTGCCCATTTTCCCCGGGCCCGAGATCTAGCCCAGGAATAGAAAAGTTCTCCGTGTCCTTCCTCATCTTGTCCCAGATGCCGAGTGCAAACCAGGGCCGCCCAGTTGCCATCTGGCTCCGGGCCGGGCCGGCCATGTGGCTTCCAGCGTGCTGCATCCAGCCCCAAGGGATCCTGCCATCCCCGTCCGCCGCTGGAGTCAAGCCAGACAGGAACGAGGCTTCCCACTTGGTAAATACTGCCAGCCTGATGAGCAGGCGCATCGCCCTCTGGTCCGGCACGCAGTGTTTGACACTGGCCAGCAGGCCGACGAGCTCAAAGGAGAGGTCATATTTGCTGACAGCCGGCAGCAGCGCAAGCATCTCAGCGCCCTTGGCCTTTGACAATGCATATCCGTTTTGGTAGGGCTCAATGATGCCCGTCACGGCCAAATGACCCATGGTCCGGTCCAGGGATCGCACGTCCCTCCGCTCCAGGTTCAACGGGATCTCGCCCATAGACTTTCCGGGCCAACCGCGGATGAGCTCAAGAGCAAAGGCCTTGCTGTGATCCGCCGGGTGGGCGGTGCTTGGATAAACATAGTTCGAGGCCATCCAGATGCGAGGAGCGCCATCGATGCCGCGGCACGACTGGCGTTGGGCATTCACCCCGCTGAGACTCAACTTCCTGAACGCCTCTGTATACACAGCGACCTTGGCCTTTGTATTGAATTGCGTGTGGTCGTTGTGTGCCGAGACGTGCGAGTATACAACCAGGCCCACCTGTTTCACTGGCACCGTCGTGAACCCTGCCTCGGGGTCCACCACTATGATGAACGACAGGACAGTGTTGAGACCTCTGTCCGGCTGCGAGAATATATACCCATGGCTCTCGAGTACCGCGCCCAGTGTAAATTCACCGTCGATACCCTTCGTCATCGAGCTGTTACTTCTCAGCGTTATAAAACGCAACCCAACGTCTCCTCTTCTCGCCTGCAGCATTGCGTCGACCTGGGACGCCAGCGGAGGGACCATACTCGAAGGCATGAAAAACAGAATGTGTTTTCCCTGGCTTGCGCAATCCACCATGCGGTTCAACAAGCCCAACTGGTTAACGCCGATGGGTTCCGGGTCAGCCTCCGTCATGCTGGGCCCGGCGAACGTCACCGGTAGCTTCCGCACCCCTGCTTGCTTGAACAGCGGCGACAGGAGCGGCACTGCTTTCTCGGCCGCCTGGTCGTCCCAGTCCTCACTGTATAGCCCGATGATCTTGACAGAGGAGGCGGGGTTGATGCTCTGGTTCATCAGGCCCATTCCAATCTCCGTGTCCACGGTCTCCAGCCAGGCCCCGTCGACCAAGATGACCATGTTCTCACATAACAGGCCACTGTTTGTGAAATGGCGACGGGCTTGGGCGAACGTCATGGCCGTGACTCGGACGTCCTCGCTCGGAACCGCGCCGCCCGTTGCCCGACAGCCCAGCCGCTCGCTGCAAAACTTGGCGACCAGCTCTGTCTCGACGACGGTGTGCCTGATGTACAGCAGCTTCAGCAGCGTCCCGTCCTTTCGCGGCGCCTTGATAAGCCCCCAAACCATGGCGAGGAACTGGTCATTCTTCCACCAGATATCTCGATGTCGGACAAAACCGGCCCCGACGCCGTCCGATAAGAGGAAGCTCGCCAACTCGGGACTCGAAGAGGAAGCGGAGGAAACGGGGATTATTATGTTTGACGCCATTTTTGATGTCGATCGCTTCGGATTTGAGGTTGACGTGAGTGGGCTTGAGAGAGAAAAATTGTTGCGGCGGTGCTGACCTTCAGCCTAGGACTGAAAAGACAAAGACCGGGGTGTTTGTTGACAGGGCTGGTGTGGGTGTTTGGGCTGGGTCCCAGCTGCCCCTCCATTTCACAGCTGTAGCTCCCAGAGGCGCTGTCCCTTAACCTCCCACACACAACCTTGGAAGTGTCTTGGCTGGAAACGTTCTACGAACTTGTCCATTGCCCGGACTGTCTACCGAGCCACAACATCGACAGCTGTCCTATGGGCACCACGGACTGCAGTTGTGTCTGTTGCTGTATTTCTCCATGGATGTGAGTGCAAATAATGACTGGTCGTTCAGAATTAGGTTCCAAGGTTGTCTCGAGCGGCGAAATACAAATGTGGTTTCGCTTCTATCCCGTATACGTCCTCCATACGGTGGTAAGCACTCAAGACCCAGCGCTTGGGAAGAACACGGTGTCGTGCAATATACAAATACATATGATTTTCCCGGACTCACCGCATCCACCACCGACCACGATTTTGATGCTTTTCAAAGGATCTATGACAAGGGCAGTAAGGGCGTCCGGGGTGGTAGTTGTGAATTCCATTCGACCTGAGGTCATCAAGAGATGGCAGTTCAGGTTAACCTCAAGAACCATTATCCCTCTTCCCTTCATTAGCGGATGAAAAATACATGTCGATGGCATTCAGGTCACACAGTCACTTGCATGGCATAAGTCAAATTCTAAAGTCAGTGCACAAATCTCATTAACGTGTTATGCACTCGTTCTAATCCTCAAATTGGCGGTCGGGGTCTTCAGAAACCTGGGACCGGGCCTCGATGTCGAGGTCCAGGTCGATGGACTCTGAAGACACAGAGGCGTTCCCATCGTCATACGCCTTGCCCTCTTCGCCCGACTCGGAGTCCGACTGGGGCTGGGACGGGGGCCCTTCCCCATCCGTCTGCATGGGGCTTCCCGGGGCTTGAGAGGCCGTAGCAGCGCGCTCCGACGGCGGGTTGGTCGCCTTGCCAGCCTCGCTCATGCCCTGGTCCTCCTCCTCCGCAGGCCGCTCCTCCCGCGCCTTGCGCTGTTCGCGGCGCTGGGACTCGGTCTTATACGCCGAGCTCCTGGCGTAGGCCTTGAGCTTGTCGATGAGCTGCTCCGCCGTGGTGTGATCCCAGTGGCTGTCACTGAAGAACTCACACGAGTCGACCACGTTGGAGTGATCGAATTCCTCCCACGCCAAGCCAGGAGTCTGGCGCTGCTCCCGGTGCCTCACCTCCACACGCCTGACCGGCAACTTGGAGCAGCTGATGCCCTCCGCCCCGTTCTCCTCCAGGTGGCGAGCCATGCACATGGCCCAGTGCTCGTGGATGCTGCTGCAGCGGGGCTCAGGCCTTCCGCCGCGGTGGGCCAGCATGAACTCGGTGACCAGGCGGTCAATCGCGGCCCGCGACATCTGCCTGCCGTCCTGGTCCACCATGGCCGCCCAGCACTTGTCCACACTCGTGTGGCATGCCGAGCCCGCATGCCCTTCTTCTCCGGCAGTGGTCCGATGGTACGGACAAAACGTGCTGTCCCAAGCCTTCTTGGTCGGCTTGGCGCAGTCCGCCTCCATGTGGTCCGTACCACCGCAGATCTTGCATGCGATTCCGGGAGGGTGGTCGGTGTGGACCGTCCGGCCGCCGGAAGCCTCGTCGCCACCGCCCTCGATCACGGCCCGTCTTCCTCCCCGGACGCCACCCGCAGCAGGCCTCTCGACCCGGTAGCGGCCCAGCATGCCCTGGCTCCTGCCGGAAAGGCCGACCTGAGCACTGCGAGCCCCAGGCAGAGCCCCACGACCGGCCTGCCTCAGAGGCCTGTCACTTGCCAGACCAGGGACGGACACTGTGATGATACCGCCTATCCTTGGCCCACGCACCCTCGTGCCGCCAGGCGCCTGAGCTGCGGCCCGGGCGACGCCCGCTATCATCTCCCGCCCGCTTTGCTTGGACATGACCGCCACCAGCGGCTCGTCATCCCCCGTGTTGTCTATGAAGTTCGCGATGGTCCGCTCCACGCTCTCCATGTTGTTGCCGTCGCGCACCAGCGACATGTGGCGCTCGCCGGCGGGCAGCACAGGCGCTCCAGGGAAGCCCAGCGGCCCCATAGGCTCCTGTTGTTGGTGATACTGCTGCTGCTGGTGTTGGTGCTGGCCCAAAAATGGCGACGGATTCATACCGCCACCAAAACCGCCACCAAAACCACCACCAAAACCACCACCAAAACCACCATCAGAGCCGCGACCAGCCCCGCGACCAAAACCAGTATCAAAACCGGCATCAAAACCCCCACCAGGCGGGCCGTAGGGCGGGCCGTAGGGCGTACCGTATGGCGGACCGTAGGGCTCATTGTAGGGCGCCCCACGGCCATATCCCCCAAAAGCTGGAGGCTGGCCATGTCCACCGAAAGCTGGAGGCTGCATCTCCACGCGCGAGTTTGGGCACTCGCGGGCCATGTGGCCTTGCATGCCACACGTGTAACACTGTCCCTGAAATCCCCTAGACATCTTCCTTTTTCTTTTGTATGTAAAAAGGGGTAAAAAACGGCGAGAAAACGATGTCAAGATGGTCTTTGTGTGGTTGGGGGCAGTTGTGGTTGTGTGTGGTTGAAGGGGTCTTTTGTTTTTTTTTTTGTCTTCTACCTACTGCAGCCCCACTAAAGCTTTTTCCTCTGATTGACCTCAAGAAAATTGAGCTACGTACCTAGGCTGGTGCCCTTCTGTCTCAGTATTTGCCTGCAGCACTCAAAGCTCCAAGCCCCTGCCTGTGACTTTCAACCAGCAAAGCCTCTCCCAACACACCGAACCTCGTCCCCACCAAGCCACGAAAAAAACAAACCCACGAATAGCCACTTGTGATAAGAACAAGTCAAGATGGCCCCAAAGAACACTCGCATCGTTGGGGATGCCAGGGACGAGAAGGACGAGAACAAGGCCGCAAATGAGGCCAAGTGGGCGGCCAAGAACCTGGGTTCGAAGAACCCATCTACGCTGGGGGCCTCGCGGTGGAACCCTGGAGAGCCGCAGTGGTCTCTCCAAACCACTCGCGATGAGATCTTCGCGAGGATGAAGGTTTTGGAGCGCAGGAAGGCTCCAAATGACCAGCAGCTCCTCGTGAGGGCGAACCAGGCGAGGCGCAAGGTGTACGAGCATATGTACGCCGAGGGCTGCGACACCACAGATGTCGGAGCTGCTGCCATCAACGTCGAGTATTTTATCGACGCAAAGCTCTGGGAGGACCACAGTAAGTACTCACACCCGCTTGTTCGCTCAACCCCCCTGCTCTGTCCGCACTCTACTCCAACATTTGCCGTCTCGTGGTATACTATAAGATACTGACCAGCTGTCCCTAACAGTCCAGAGTATTACCAAAGAGGTGTTCCCCTGGCAGTGGCCAGATATCTTCCGCGAGGATGCGGGGTATGCCGAGTTTGCCCGGGCGAAAGCCTCAATGGGCAAGTGGTCAGACTCTGTTCTGGCTGATGACGGCGTGAGACGGGACCAGCGGGCCAAGGACAGCGCTGAGCTCGAGAAGAAGATGCAGGCCGAGGGCAAGGACTGGGCGGATATGGCCGCTCCCTTGAACGAGACCTTCACCTCGACCCACCAGGACGAGGAGGGGAACCGAGTTCGTGGCGAGCAGAGGACTGCCACCCACGGAGGGCCCGCGGCCGGAGAGGCAGCCAGCAAGGAGGCCACCGAGAAGGAGGAGGAGGAGCCCACTGGAGAGGGCGATAAGGCTGAGCCCGAGAAGGCTAAGCCCAAGAAGGCCGGGCCTAAAAAGGCCGAGTCCAAGCACATATCTTGGACCCCTAAGCTCATAACAAAGCTCTACAAGAATATCTTTGGGCAGGACGCAGCCTGCCTAGATGGCATGGGCGGCTTTAAGCTGCCGTTTGAGGAGAAGTTTGTTGGCGTGCTGAAGAACAGCACCGTCGTCAAGGCCTAGCGGCTCTTTCCGAGCATGCTGGAGATTCAGCTAAGGACCCTGGGCTGGGGTTGCGCCAAGCTCGTTTTGCGGTTTGCCCCCTGGGTGCTTCGGGGCGCGGCCGTCTTCCCCCTCTATAAGCACAACCTGGTCTGGGCTTGGTGTATACTGCTCAAGTACAAAAAGGGGCTCATCAAGCAGGCCTCAAATGCTAAGGGGGGCGAAAAGCCTTTTAACCCCCCTCTCATATACGTGGGCATCCAAGAGGTCATGGCAGAGTGGACACAGCGTGCCCTGGCGCAGGCCGACCTGTCTATAGTTGGTGGGGCCTAGAGCCTGGATACCCGGGCTAATAAGGCCGGCCTCGAGGACAAGGCATCAAAGTAGCGTCTATACAACGCCATGTCCCGCCTGCTCAAGAAGTCAGGCGACCTGAACGATGTGGTTTGTGCCTAACGCCTAGTAGATTGGGCCTCCAAGGACCCAAAGGAGCTTGGCAGCAGCCCAAGGACCCGGACCTACCTGGTCATTAAGGCCATGCACAAATACTATATGTCCGTCCAGGGTAAGGAAAGGCTAGACATAATCGCTCAGCACATAATATCTGGGATGCACGCGGCCCCAACCCGCCTAAAAACGCGGGCCAGCGAGGCTGGTAAGAGCAGCCAACCCGATCACACCAAATAATGTGGGTGTGGCATAATTGATGATTTAACTTGTTTTGGCCTTCACAATAATACAGCTATTTTTAATTTACCCTCAATATCTGCCCCAGTACCTGCTCTAACCTGTGAAATGTGTAAAGTGCTAGTCTAACAACATAGATCAGCGGCCATCGCCTCTAAACTTAAAAGCAGGTTTATAAGTTCATTCTAAGCTCCTATACAATATGTAACATCAGGTAGGGTAAACAGGCAAGCATTGCTCGCTCGCCGGCTATACCTATTTCTACAGTACCAGGAAATGGAGCTCCAGGGGGGCTTGCAGCTCCAGGCTTAGTTGATTCAGGTTAGTGTGCCTAACAGCTCTTTAGTTAAGCTTAACAAACGCGACCATCCTGTCACACCACCTAATGCAAATTTCACCATGCAATGTCAACACAACGTCCTCTCAAGCCAACACACAAATCAAGCCTCCCCATTGAATATGAAAACATATCCTCCTCACTATACGCTCCAAGACGTTAAATACAAAGACATCAAATCATCCTCCCCATCAGCTACAAGACATTGAAGAATAGCCACGAGATGGACATCCAATCTCGCCCAAGGGAAGAATGGGCCAGGTTGCTAAGAAACAAGCGGCCGCGGCCAATAGACAATGGACTGGGATGGACGGGAGAGTAAGGTGCAGCCGTCTCTTGCGTGGTTGTCGTTATAAAGATGATCATGAGCTACACCGACAAGTTGCCCAAAACGGGCGGCGATAAGCTAAAGTCCGTTCAGGCCCAGCATGAAGCAAAGGAGAGGAATGTACTCTTAAAATTCGCATGGCATGATACCTTGGAGGGAGTCAAAGACGCTGCCGTCCTCCACCTGCAAGAAAAGGTCTACAAGCAGCTAATGGACCCCGAGGGGCCGTAGGCCAAGGCAATCTCGGGAGGCATCACCTTTCCGGCGCTAATGGAGAGCGTGCCAATGTTAACGGACTTCTAGTCTCGCCCAAAGTTTCTGTTTTACACAGGCTTCAACATTGGTGATGAGGCTGACCGCATACCCTTCAGCCGCGCGCTCAACGATAAAGGTGTTCCGGCGTTGCCGGCTAATATGGCAGGCCTCAGCCTGATTGAGTGGAGACCTAACGGCCGGCCTCTAAGCAAATTTCTTGCTCTGCCCACGACTGGTAACGAAGATGGGCAGAGTTTCAAGTGCATTGAGACTTGGTCCTGCTTGGAGCTGGAGTGCCTCCACGTCCTCTTCAAGCCGGGTAAGGGGAAATACCCAATTGGCTTTTGGGATCTTGCCACTATTGTGGTCAATCCCAGGTAAATGCAGCTTGGCAAACGTGGTGGCAAGTGGGCGGGCACATGCAAGCTCAAATATAGGTTGGTTGCCGTGGTGAGGTCCGGCTCGCCCCCATACATCAGGACATACAATAAGGAGGGGCGTTACAACGTCCCCATGGCTATGTCTACATCTGGTGCGCTCTATCTGGACAATGGATGGGAGCTGGGGCAGCCTGGGCACAAATATATGCTCTACTATACGCTTGCCTGGCCCACAAACGTCAACCTAGAGCCAGGGGACGAGATGCCACCCAAACCGTTAGGCGGCGGGGCTCTTAGATGTGTCAAACCCCAGCAGCAAAGCCTTGGGTGGAGAGCTATCGATTTCCATCTGCCTGTCGCGGCTCCCACGGCGCCTAGGGCGCATCATACAGAGACTCCTGCCTCCAGCGCCAACGCAATCCCCATTAACTCGTAGAGGGTGCGGGGCTTTGGTCAGGGCACAGCAGCGGGGCCATCTAACCAGCACGAGGGGCAACCCGCGGGGATCAGTGAACTTGTGGCACCTATAATGGACAAGCCCGCCTTGGCACAACCACCATCTAGCCTGCTGGCTCCGCAGCCTCACTTCTCAAAAGGGCCATGAGGCTTCCCACTGCGGTTAAGGCGTCTGCTTCCCTCTGAAGAGGTCAGGAGTGAGCCGCAGCGTGGGGCTTTGCAGCCACCATCTAGCCTGCTAGCTCCGCAGCCTCACTTCTCAAAAGGGCCATGAGGCTTCCCACCGCGGTTAAAGCATCCGCTTCCCTCTAAAGAGGCCAGGAGTAAGCCGCAGCTTGGGGCTTGGCCTCAGCCCCATAACACTTGGGCTCAGTCACAGAACACTCAGCTAGGCAAGCGTGACATGCCCGCCCAAGGGAGACTATTCAATATGGGCAAGGAGCCAGTGGGGGAGAGTACGTCTAGGAAGAAAATGAAAACAGGGAAGGAGTGATAGAATAGATTATATAGTACATAATCTACCAACATGCTAGGATACCTCTGTAGTAATATTTGCAGTCTGTAAGATTTTGTTGAACTTACCAATCCTTCTAGAGGCTTTTTATCATCAATCACCGGTACATGTTCTGCAACAGAATTCCCTGCACGTCAAATGTCTTGACATCTGGCTTTCTGCGAGCCGTGGCCATACCCGCCATACTTCCAACACCTCACCAAAAAACTCTATGGCATATTAATTTTTAAAAAGTTGGTATTACTTCAAAAAAACATATCTAAAAGTGGTATATAATATAGTATTGAGGAAGTATTGCTTGCATGACTTAATGTTTTTCTTTAAGTTCTTTCATTTTATGGGCCCATTAGTCTATGCAAATCCTGGGTCCTTATATACATATACATAATTAGGAGCTTCAATATCAAGGAAAGCGGCCAACTAGCAGCCTTTTGCAACTGGTGTTTGATTTCTTCTCGGAAACCTAACCGGCTATCAACATAGAGAACATACACGACTCCCTACTCGCCCAGCAACGATACCAACTACTTCGAGTACGTGTTCATTACAACATACAATCCAAGAAAGTTGAAAATGCCTCCCAAAGCTGCGATTGGGACCCAGGAGCAAGCGCTAGAAGAGCTGCGCAAATTTTTCAAAAACCAGAGGCCTCCCCTATCATCAGAGAAGTATAAGGCTCTAATTCCCCGCCACGCGGAGGGCCCTCACTAGTCAGCAGAGGATAAGGAGGATCTATGGTTGCAGGGCAAGTTTGCCAAAATCCTGCAATGGGGCCCTATGGTTTGGACGCAATGCCCGGCAGCAAGGCAGCTATAAAGAATGTTTGCCCAGCTTTATCACTACCTCCCAACAGAGCTATTCTCATAGGCCTACCAGATTGACGCCAACACGAGCAGGAACCCCACTATCAGTGAGGGCCCGCATGTGGGTGCGCCCAATGTCATCTGGTTGAACTGATTTTGCATTGCGCTGAAGACGTTCATGATGCATGGCTTCTAAACGTACAACAAAGACTGGGACTTCCCCGTCATGGCGCAGCTAATACAGCTCGCAGTCATCTGCTGCAAGAATAACTGCAAACCTTGGCAGCTGGTCAACCACGCCAAAAATTCATTCTTTAATAAGCTGGTCAACAAGATCCAACAGGAGGCTGCCAGTGTCAGGTCAATCAAGGACTTAATGGACTTGATGGACGCCCGGATAAACGCCAGGAATGTTCGTCCCAGCCAATTCCGTCTCCTTTTCCGCGGCGTTGTTGCAAAATGCTTTAGGCCTAACGCTGCGCCTATTATGGAAGGGGTTCCTGGGCCTTACAAGGTCATAATAGAGGACCTCCAGGCTCTTGTAGACTGTCTTGACTGTCTAACTGGGTACCCTGCCGTGCGCGAAACATCGGTCAGCTAGACGGGACACCAATAGATAATAAGCATAAAAAAGGCCTAGGGCAGTAGCAAGGGCATGCACCAAACCAAGCCTATCTGGGGGAACCTTCTCGTGCAAGCCATTACCTTTAGTCTCATGGCGAGGGATAGGGACGAGAAGATCTCACAGCAAAGCGCCGCGGCCCGGGTCAACAATGACGATCCGTTCAACATAATCCTTAATAGTGCACCTGCACGAGAGCCGAGTATGTCCAATAATGACGTCTCCATGAAAAACGAGCCATTTGAGGAGGAAATGGTCATTCCCTCTTCGCCACTTGTTTGGCCTAGCCCTAAGCAGCCTCAAGCGGTCGCGCAGTCCCCTGCACAGGAGCCGTCTTTCAACAAGAAAGAGGAAGAGGATCATGCCAAGTACTTGGTATGGATGAGGCAAACCCAGTGGTTAGACGCGTTCAGGCGCAACATGTCACCTAATCCTACCCGGGGTTGCATGGACAAAGGCCCGTATAAGGGTGAGCCACATGACAAGTCTGGGTTCTAGGATGCTAACAAGTAGGCCGTGGCATACCTATGGAGCTCTTAACGGGTTAGCCCAACAAGGGGAATTGTCTATACAGATGGACTTTAATAATTTTCACCACGTCCAAATTTATCTTGTAATCCCCGTGCCTCGTAACTAATG